CATTCCCTGCCCCTTCTCTGCCATTCCAGCACATCCCAGCAGGGCGATTTTCGTTACCTTGCTGCCCCTGTGCCAAGCCACCCTTGGGTGTCTCCGCCGTGATCCTCACATCCTCGTGGAAACGCTTCCCTGGAAAAATCCTCAGCCCTTCCCAATCGGGATACAAGTCCGGAAACCACTCCAAGCCCGCGGCGCCGGCCCTGGCGCTGCTGCCCGAGGCGTGCCCCGAGCAGGGCCGCTGGGTTTGGGGCGTGTGGAGCAGAGGCAGCTGCGGGGCTGTGCCCGGGCTCGGGACGGGCTCGGGCACTCGCTCCCCGCCGGCCCGCGGCCCCCGCAGGCCGAGCTCATTTCTGGATGTCCCCCGACCGCCAGCTCCGAGCGCCAGGGACGGGTGGAGCGTCCCGGGATGCAAAGCACCCGCGGGGGGGTCAGATCCCGCCCCAACTTCCAGGCGCACCCGCTCGCCCCCTGTCCCAAATTTGTCTCTTCCCTCCTGCTGGGCGAGGTCACCGGGGCTGTTGGTGCTGCCAGCGGGTTCTTGAAGTGTCTTTGCTGCCGTCAAGCTGCTTTCTTTTCCCTTGGAGCTGCCAGTCGCGCTCCCCAGGGCTGCCCGGCTCCGCGTCTCCTTGCTCTTGGATTTTGGGGCGGTTTCGCGGCGCTGCGGGTGGGGAGCGGGGCCGGGCTCCGTCCCTTCCCCGCGGCTCCGCGGCTCCTTCTCCCGGACCACCCGGGCTCGGTGCTTCTCGATCACCACCTTCACCCCCTTCTGCAGCTTCCTGGGCACGTCCCGCACCTCCTCGGGCCGCAGGTCCAGGCTCCGGGCCACGTCCCGCACCGCGCGGGAGCCGCTCCTTGCACCGGGGCCGCTGCCGGGGGCCGGGCGGGGACCCGGGGCCGGGCTGGGAAGGGGCGGCGCGGCGCTGCCGGGGGCCGGGGCTGCCCGGCAGTGCGGGAGGTGCGCGCGGAGCCGCTTGAAGGGCCGCCGGCAGTGCGGGCACAGCTCCAGCCCCGCTCCCGCGGCCGGCCCCGCCGCCGCCATCGCCGCCCGGCCCCCCGTGACGTCACAACGCCGCGCCTCCCGCCGCCGCCGTCACAGAGGCGCGGCCCCGCCCCCGGGCGCGCGCCGTGACGTCACGGGCGAGGCGGCGGAAGCGGCGGTCGGGCCGGGCCGGGCCGCGCTGCCGCCGCCGCTCCCCGCGGCCTCCGCCCCGCGCCGCTCCGGCCCGCCCCGGGCCGCGCTCCCGCCCGCCATGAGCTGCCGGCAGCCGCTGCCCAGCGAGCGGGGAGCCAGACAGAGGTGCGGAGGGCCTGGGGGGGAAGGAGCGGCCGCGCTGAGGGGAGGGAGCCCGGCCGCTCGGGGCAGCCCCGGGGGCGGGGAGGGGAGAGCGGGCCCCGAGCGCTCGGAGGGTTCCGTGGGGCTGCGGGGGATTCGGGGGAGATTCTCGGCGGAAGCTGAGGGGCGGCGGAGCGGGGGGAGCTGGGGGATGCTGCGGTCAGGGAATGCGGTGGAAGGGACCCTAAAGGCCGTCCTGTATCGCCCCTGCCACGGGCACGGACGCCTTCCATGGCCCAGCGCGCCCCGAGCCCCTCCGGGCTGCCGAGGTCACTGCAGGGGTTGAAAGGAGGGATCCAGAGGCAGCGTGGGGGAAATCAGGAATAGCCCTTCCCCAGCGCTCCCGGGCAGATGGGCAGCGAGCGATCCCAGCGATGGGGAGCAGGGAGGCAGCTCGGGCTGTAGGCGTGGGCCAAACCCCGGCAGCTGAGGCTGCTGCACGGAAAGGAGCCAGTTATAAATACCTCCTTCCAGTCTGTTTTGACTCATTCGAGCACGGATTAATTTTAGGCACACCAAAACAGCTCCGTGCCGTGTTTTTTTGGAGGCTGCTGAGATCCTGGCTGACTTGTCGTGTTTGTAGGGCGGGGAGGAATCGTTTGATGTTTGTGTAGGAATTCTGGGATGCTGCTGGGGAGCAGCTGCGCTGTGTTGGTGTCACAGAATCGCACAGTGGCGGGGGTCAGAAGTGACCCAGCTCATCCAGTGCCACCCCCACCACGGGCAGGGACACCTCCTACTGTCCCAGGCTGTTCCAGGTCCTGTCCAGCTTGGGCTTTGAGGTCTTCCCTTTATCTCCTCGAATCTGGGAGCATTAGCACTGCCCCCACCCCATTATACTCCTCCAAACTCTGCTTGGCTTCGATGCCCGCAAAGATTTGGATGGAAATTAGGTTAAAGCTTGTACTCACCATGCCAGACAGTGCAGTGTCACCAGAGGATGGTAAACACATCAGAAACAGGGAGGAGTTTGTTTTCATGAGGTGTTTCCTGACAAAACCTTATTCCCGCATGGGAAATGTGATTGTTTTGGAGTGTGACTCAACTCCAAACACTGTCAGAGTGGAGAGAATCATTGTGGGGTGGTGTGAGCAGGTGAATAATTGGAGATTGGCTGGGCTGTCCCCAGCCTGTCAGGTGTCACTCTGAGCCCAGGGATTATTTTTATATCTGCAAAGTTGGCAATTGTTAAATGAGTTTGGCTTTAATCCATGTCCCTTATAGTGGCAGGAAACATCTTGTGAGGAACAAGATCCTTTTCTCTGTGCCCTCAGGCTGCAGCTAAAAGGGGAATATGGGAGCCCCCAGCAGCTCAGGGGGCTGGAGACATCCTGCATTCATTTATCAGGTGTTCCTGCCTTTTTTGGGTGCCTTCAGAGGACGAAGCAGAAGGTGGATCAGTGAGCTGATCATTTCTTTTCCCTGCAGGAAGAGGAGGAGGAATGGCAATGAAGATGATGGCCACGTTCCCCAGACCAAACGTAGCAGCAGGAGCACTGTCCTGCAGGACTCGTGGGACACTGAGGTGAGAGCCTTCCCAGGCAAACCCATTCTGCATTCCAGCAGCAGCTGCAATATCCTGTGCTTTTTTTTTTTTGCATTTTGATTTCTTAGCTTTGTGTTTGAGGTCGTGAGGTTTGACTCGGTGACATCAGAGATAGAAATCAGTTTGGAAAAATCAGTATTCCCAGTGAGCCTGCTTATCCCTGGCCTGAATATTTCTGGGAAGAAACTTCAAATCCTGCCTCACAACACCCAGAGAAATGATTTCCTGCTTCTTGTTTTTGCTGTGTGGGCTGGGCTGTGCCCAGAGCTGAGGGGCTGTGAGGGTGGATGTGTTCCTGTGCTCACTCTGCCTGACCATCAACTTTGCCTTTCCCCACAGTGAGGTGATTATTTGTGGGAGAAAGACAAAACACATTCCAGGCAGGCCTTATCTGATGTGGAATAAAATGCCCTAATAGAGCTGCTCAGTTTAAGCAAGACTTGTTCACAGCTAAATCAGACTCAAAACTCATTGTTATTTTCTCATATTTTCCATTATTTCTTTGCTGGATGTGGGATAAACTCTTGTTTTCTTACCCCTCACCAGACAGCTGTTCTCTCTGTGCAATTTGAGATTTAATTTCTTAGAAAAAAATAATTTAAATTGCTGATTTCCCAAGTGCTGCCAGATTTTCTGAGATGTTACCTGGGTGAATCACCTGAAAATTCACTGTGAGCAATGTCCTTGTGTTGTAAAACATGCATGGAAAAGAGGGTACAGAGCAGAGGCTTCCTCTCTGAAGTTAATGAAATTAATTTCTTTGAAGGTTTTGGAAGTATCCTTGGTTTTTTAAAGCCTCCTCACTTTGAAGGTGGATTGTAATGAGCAGTTACAGTCTGAATTATTATGGAATTAACTCAATTATTCAACTGTTAGCTGTACTTTGCAGAAAACATTTAGTTGCTGTGCAACTTGGAGCTCTTTTATAATCTGGAAATGGTTTCTGATGGCTACTTCTACATTCCTGTTGTGAGAGTGACTCTCTCTTAGCCTGGACAAGTAGGGTACGTGACAGGACGCTGCTGGAAATGCTCTAAGAGCTGCTGTCTGTCACGAAGGAATCCTCTGGGATGGAACCTGCCCCGTGCTGCTGTGTTCTCAGGAGGGAGACTTTGCATTTTTTGGGGTGTGCTGGGGAGCAGCAGCGCTGGTTTGCTGCTGTCTGACACTGAATCACTTGTCCAACAGGTCAGAGCCCTCCGTGTGCGTAGGGTAGTTACAGGCTAAAGCAGCTTTGTGGCGGGAGGAGGACGGATTTAGTGTGGAACAAGGGATTGAAGTGGGAGTAATGAAATTAAGGATATCAGGAGAACCCCCCGATGGTGAGTGGCAGAAGCACCTTTGCTTGTCGTGTAAACACCCGGAGTTTGGGCAGAGCCACTGAAAGCAGGGCTGGCAGTGGCCACACAGCAGGGTGACATCAACCCTGGCCTGGTTTCCTGCGGGGGAGCATGGCTGACCCAGGGCAAGGTCACTGCTCAGCCTAACACAGACTCTGCTTCTTGCATGCACTTGCCTGGTAAAATCTGGTTTTAACACTTTAAAGCTGGTGTGAGGCGGGGAGGAGCTCTCACTGCTGAGGAGTGTGGACACAGCTTCTCAAACAGCACGGGAACAGAATTCCCAGTGTTTTCTCCTGATGAATGGAGCTTTTTCTTTTTGTTTTTTTGGCTTGTTTTCTTGTCGGATCCCTCAGCTGAGCATGCCCAGAAATTCAAGACACGAGATTAAATCTGTTTTATTCCAACATTTGGTTAAGGACTTCCTGTGCCAAAGGGAGAAATCCTTGTGCTCAATGTGCACGAGTGCTTCCGATTGGTGCCGCTTGGAAAGTCTCAGCCAGTTTGCAACGCTTGGATTTAGCTTCCTGATACTTTGCTGTGTGCAAAGACACCTCTTGCTGGTTAAAGATCCCCACTTGTTTTGGGATATTGCCTGGGAAAGGGGAATGGGAGCAATCTGTGACTTCCAAGAGCCAAGTGAGAGTCGCTTTTCATCACCGAGCATCGCACACCTGCTTTTTGTGAAACATTACCCAAAGTCCTGATTCCTCTGGCATGTTTTGGTTCAAACTGACTGTTCCCTCTGGCCAGAACAGGCCTCTTTGAGAACACAGCCTCAGGATGGCAATCAAGCAGTGTTTTAAACTTGATGGTAATCAAGCAGTGTTTTTTGCCAGGATCTCTTCCCATTTTTTTTTGTCTTCCGTGTTTTGCTCTGGAGAATGAGGTGAAGGGAGGTTTTTCCTTAGTGGCAGTTCAAACCTGGGCCCTTCTGTGATGTTATCCCTCAGTCCCTGATTTTGAGTCCCACTGCTCATCCAAATCACATCCAATTCCAAAGGATTTGCTGTTTTCTCCTTCTGGATTCCTTTTACCCAGGACGGGCAGCACCCCTGACTTCTGACTTTCACAGGATGGAAACAGAGTCTCTTCAGTCTCCATCAGTGCAGCTTTCTGGCCAGTTGCTGTGAGGATGTGCCATTCCTGGTGCTCCTGGAGAAGCCACTTGCAGGGTACAGCCACCCTGAGGGTGACAGAACCCTCAGGCCTGGGCTCAGTCCTTGGGCAGGCACAGCCACGGGGCTGCAGCTGCAGCCAGGGTTAAACATTAGCGAGGCAGAGCCTTTGCCACAGAATTTCGCTTCCTGTTCAGCCTGTCCTCCCTTTTCCAGGTCAGCTGTGGTGTTTGCCCTGTATTGGGTTAGAAATCCATTGCTTGTCCCCACATCTAACCAGGAGAAGTTGTAGTGGATCCTCCAAGGGGACCCCCCTCTTGGGAATGCTGAGGTTCTGCAGCCTGGGGAATCACCAGTGCAAACCCTTTGCTCTCGTTTCTCCAGGGAAGGAAGCGAGTCTGAGTGTTCTGGCTGACCCTTTCCTTCCTGAACAACTTCTGCAAACCCCAATTTCTCATAGTTCGTCTTTGTTCTGGCCAGGATTGAAACACTGCCGGGTTCTTGGCAGAGATCAAATCAAAGTTCTTGTCCCCCACTATCCAGGGAAGGACTGCTCTTCAGTTCTAACTAAAACCAGATCGTGGCTTTGTTAAACTCCTCTTGGAAGGTGTTGAGAGTAGCAGGGGCTGAGTGGCTTTTTCTCCAGTTCCTGTCCCAAGGGATTGTCCCAGATCTACACATTTAACAGGACATTTGTTTTAA